GAGTCTATAGCTTCGCCACCTTCGAGCTCAAGCCGAGATAAAAGTTTAAGTTTTGATAGGTATGCAATGATAGCTGAGCTAACTGGTGGATCTAGACGTGGATCATCATTAGAGGTTTTTGAAATAGATGAATATTTATCTGTTTCTTTAGTTAAATGTCAAGGAAATACTTTAGATATTTTGCAATGGTGGAGAGTATATGGATCAGTTTCATATCCTATACTTTCCACCATGGTTTGTGACTTACTAACAGTGCAGGTTTCGATGGTAACTTCAGAATCCGCTTTCAGCACAGTAGGACGGTTGATTGACGATCACAGGACATGCTTAGATCCGTATATTATACAAACGGTGATGTGCTTACAAAATTGGTGGAGGTAGGAGAAGCGAACGCAAGGCATCGATTGGATGGTTGGAATTGAAGATAAATTTGAATAGTTGGGACTAACAGATAGATATAAAGATTAAACAATATTCATCAAATTATAATTTTTATTTTTTAGCTTTAAATTTATAATAAAATTTTTTTGGAAACAGTTACAAATGATAATAATATAGGTGAGTATGTGTCAACCTAGTTGGGATGTACTCATCTATTGTGATGCGATGAATTCCGAAATAAATTTATACTTGTAAAAGATTTATTAATTATTAATAAAAAAGTTATATTTATCATCTTTTATTTTTATAATTTTTTATATTTATAATTTATGTCATTTCAAGTTATTAATAATATTATTATTTTTCATTAGCATATTCTGTAATTTTTTATGTATATTTCAAATTTTAAAGAGATTTTAAAAAATAAAAAAATAATTAAAAAAATAAAAAAATCCGGGCATGCTCGGAGCCCGGCCCGTTCAGGCCCGGGCCCAGAATTTTGCCCAGCGCGGGCCGACCAGGATGGACAGATCTATTCATGTAGGAAAATGATAGGGGCACACTCCAAACCATACCCTCTCTCTCATTTACTACAGTACACCGGGCCACATATGAGATTTTAAAATTTAAAATCAAATTTAAGACCCGGTGTACTGTAGCAAATTAGAGAGAGGGTGTGGTTAGGGTTGTGGTTGGGGGTGTGCCCCTAGTGCCACCCATTCATGTACTACTGATATATGGATGATTCTGAAAATATCCCTACTGTGTAGTCGCCTCAACAAAACCCTCTGTTCCAACCTCATTATTACCTCCAGCTGCCTGTTACTCGAACCCAAACTCGACGCCCAATGCACCTGAAGCCACATAAACCGGTTACACCCGGTGGCAGCCCACCCCGAGTCCACATCCAATTCCCGCGACCGCGATGTATAAAAGGCACGCGCACGTACTGATCGAAACAATCCTCTCGTAACAAGAAGCGATTCGAAATCTTTTATTTCCGAGAGAAAAAAGGAGAAAAAAAAGAGCCTCCTTTTTCTCGCATCCTACTTTTTTTTCCGACGATTTTTTTCCTACGTTTCACCGGATTTGAAACGGTTAGTCTTTGTGTTCAGTTTTTCTCGCTTGAATCTTTAGCAGATCGCGAGAAATTTTCTAATGCAAATTTAGGGTTTTAGTTGGGTTTTGGCTGCAAAAGCTGGTAGTTTTGGCCACTAGGGTTTGGAAATTTATTTCGCGTTCGTTGTCGATTTATCAACATTGCATGTTTAAAAAACCCTAATTTCTAATTGGTTTAATTCTAGTTGTTCTTTTACGATGATGTTGGTATTTTTATTACTATCTTTGTAATTTTCGTTGTGGGTATTTCATGTCTGTGCTAAAAAGACCAATGCCCTACTTAATAAGATGCACTAATCAAATAGTTTTTTTTTTTTGGTAGATTTTGACCCTTCCAGTTGTTCTTAATTTGGCCTCTGTTCATGTCTCTGGAGCGATGAACAACGGCCCTCCCAATAGTGCAACAAACTCCTCCATCACTGATGGACCTCACGTCGAGAGGAGCCCAAGCATCGGCGACGAATACTACGTTTCCTCATCTAGTAATGCCTCGGCCTCTTCGTTGAATATTGGCTCCCCTATCATTCAACGGAGTCCTCATCATGAACAGACGAACCAAGGGGTATCCAGAAATGAGTTGAGTTCTGTCCACGCCCAGAAAAAACTGAGGCTGGATACGAGGCAAGAAGATATAATCCAACCGCAGTTTGTTAGTCAGTTGCTTCAGGGGAAACAAAACCCCCAGTTAAATGCCACCATCAAGATGCAGAAGCGAAGGAGACACCAGAAACAGCAGGAGATGATGCCGAGAGCTCAGCAGATGCCTCAGCATCAGCCGGGGCCAAGCAATCTACAAGCAAAATCTGTGACTACTCCTGTTGAAGATATTTCTGGCGAAGGACTGTGTGCTCGGAGGCTTGTGCAGTACATGTGTCATCTGCGTCATAGACCGCCTGTTAGTTGTTGAATGGTTTCTTGTGTTTTTCTTGTAGTATTGTCAAACTGGAGTCGGATATATAATGTTCAATTCTTTGTATTTACTGCAGGACAATCCCATGATGTATTGGAGAAAGTTTGTGCTCCATTACTTTTCTCCGAAAGCTAAGAAAAGGTGGTGCTTTTCGCAGTATGAAAATGTCGGTAGGCAGGTGCTTGGTGCTTCTCCTCAAGGAGCCGCGGTAAGTTTTCTTTAGTTTGTTTGCATTTTTACTCCCTATTTCCATTTCAAATTATACATACTTATTTTATGTACACATTTGGATGTCACATTTGCCTACGTTTTTTTTTTTTTGACAGATGTGAGTAAGTTTTTATTGTGTTGGTTTTCAAACTTCGTCAAGTTGTTTATCGTGCATGGATCTGGTTGTTCGCTGAAATTAACTGCTTGTTAACTTATGATACTTATTAACTCTACTGCAGGATGCATGGAAATGCGGTATTTGTGGTGCTAAATCTGGAAAAGGGTTTGGTGAGTTCATGCATCTCCTTGATAGAAATCTGCCTTAATTTCCTTCATTACAACTAATCTGGAAAAGATTTTTTTTTTTTTTTTTTTTTTTTTTCCCTGTCACCATGGTGTTACTTTTATAATCAAATCCAGTAAGCAGCCAAGCTAAGGGCCATGAGATGTCGGGCAGAAGAAGGTTTTTACACCTAACCTCATCAACAAAGTAACTAAAACAAAAGGGAAAAAAAAGAAATAAGGAGACAATTATGAATAAGAATTGAGGTTAAGTGCTCGTCTTAGGAGATTAATTTGAGCGTTTGCTTGTCCTCTCAAAATGATGTACAAATCTTACTCACAGCCGGCCAACATCATCCGTCTGTACAACTGCAAAATAAGAGACAATTGTATTGTATATAAGAATTGAGGTTAAATGTCTGTCTTAAGAGATTAATTGTGCATTAATGCTAAGATATTTGTTTTGATATAATTACATATTTGATGCGAATATAGTCCGTCCTTTGCTGGTTAAATGTCGAGTGCTTGTTTCTGTTAGCAATTTAAATTTAGCTCTTTTTTATTTTCTACAATATCTATTATTTTGTTTAAACAGCTTCATCTATTAGTAAGTATTAATTGTTAATCTCGAACTGCATTTGGTCAAAATACTAAATTAACAGTTTTGATCAAGGTACGTACTTTTGTCTTTTTGCATAGTTTGTTTATACAGTTTCATTTGTTAATAAGTTTTAATTGTTAATTTTGGATCTGATTTGGTCAAAATAGTAACAGAAAAGAGTTTTGAAGTGTATTTTTTTTTAATTTTATTGAAATAAAAATCTCTTTTATGGTTACCCTCAAAAACTCGTCACCGAAATCCTAATGCAGTTATTACTTGCAACTTATGGCGAAATGTCAGTTTTAACTTATTATCTTCATTCCTTTATTTAGACTTTTGGTACACCTTTTGAAGCTCAAAAAAAGGATGAGAGGGGTAAATAATGAGAGATGCGGATGCGGCTTGTCTTCTGTTTGGTTAATTATTTCTTAGATGTAGTTTAGGCTCCTGCCTCTTCATCGCTTGGTGGTTATATATAGTCTTTCCTAGTTTTTCACTAAGTAAGTTTCGACTTATAGCTCACAATTTTCTCTCTTTTGGACAGAGACTACATATGAAATACTGCCCAGGCTTACTCAAGTTGAATTTGAAAGCGGGGTTGTAGATGAGCTGTTATTTCTTGAAAAGCCCCATGAGTTCAGGCTTAGCTCAGGCATGATGGTTTTGGAATGTATAAAAGCTGTTCAAGAAATTGTCTATGAGCAACGACGCGTCATTCGTGAGGGGAAACTTAGAGTAATTTTTACGCCAGACTTAAAGGTTGCTGAAGATTATATCTACACTTCATATTTACAACATCCAAAGTTATTTATCGCAGTTTTTTTGGGAGTTTCTAGCGTTCTAATTTAATACAGTAGGTGATATTCGATTATTCAGATCCTTTGTTGGGAGTTTTGTTCTCGTGGCCATGAAGAATTTCTCTCTCGTGAGGCGATAATGCCCAAGGTACTAGTTTTCTTTTGAACAAATTTTCAAAACAGCCCCAAAAAGATTTTTATTTTTCAAAATCGACCCAGTTTTTTTTTTACCAAAATCCACCCGGTTTTTGCCACGTGGGCTTAATGATGTTCCTAAACAGTTGGGGTTGGCAACCCCGACTGTTTAGGACATGCAAATTTCGGGTTTAAGGACATTAATTGGGGTTTAACACCCTCCTAAACAGTCGGGGTTGCCAACCTCGACTGTTTAGGAACGTCATTAAGCCCACGTGGCAAAAACCGGGTCGATTTTGGTAAATAAAAAAAATAGGTCGATTTTGAAAATTAAATTTTTTTTGGGGGCTGTTTTGAAAATTTGTTCGTTTTCCTTTATGTCTATTTGCAGTAATGGTCAATATTCAAGGTGGTCATTTGAAGTTCATTATGTTAAGTTTTCTACATGTATCTTATTTTAGGGGGGTAAGGCAATCTGTTAATTTGTGTTATTTTATGATCAACCAGTTTGATATAGTTTGGTTTAGGGCTTTTCTGCAGTATTAGAGCATCTCCAACCCTACTCTCCAAATTGAAATATTCCTAGAATATTTCAATTTGGAGAGTGGAATTTGGAGATTTGCTCCAACCCACACTCTCTAAATATTTTTTTATTTTTATTTTATCAAAAAAAGTCATATAAATTAATAATGTTGGATATGATTTACATTAATAATTTTATTTTTAATAATTTATTTGGGAAAAAATAATAACATTAGAAAGGTGTCGACGGGAGCTTTAAAATGAACCCAATATTAATAATCCAATACAACATATTAAAAAATAAAATCTGAAATAATAGTGACAAAGTATACATCGATAGAACAAGGAAGCAAACATAAACCTCTAGTACAACATATCATAGGTCGCAAACATAAAATATGATAACAATGAAGGAATGTAATTTAAATATTATAATTTATGCTTGTATTTTCTTATGGGGCAAGTTAAATAGATCCCCATATTTAAGTTTTCATGTCTTAAACTTATTTATTTAATTTAAAAAATAATAATTTTATAATAATATTAAAATAAATTAATCTTAGTTTCATTTTGAAGATCTCGATGAGACCTTTCCAAATATATAATTATTTTGAAAATTAGATTAATAATTTTTAACTATATTTATTTGAAATTAAACATCTAATATAAATTACTAAGAATGATGACAAAGTGGTAATTTTTAAGAAATTAAATAGTTAAAAGTGGCAAAGTTATAATA